AATATGTTCTCTGGTCTCCGTGACAGTATAAATATGGAACACTATTCGCGAGAAAATGTTTGAGGATCGTTGGACGACATAACCGACCATCGGCGAGGAGAACAGACCGAGCAAACGTTTCGTAATGGGTACATGAGCAAACGGCTCGGAATTGAGCTCGAGCAAATGGCATGGAAATGTTTTCAGAGCATCTTCAAATGCGAAGGGATTGTGTGAACGAGTACATACGTCGCTCCAAATCCGATCGATACAATAATTCGTTTGATCGTACGCGATCATTGAGCGAACCATTTCAAATTTATAAAACAAGAAAATAAAATAGTATACGTGGAATCACTATTTTCTGAATTTATATGAAATACTATTTATGTTAATTTTTAGACTTCCGGATTTTACCGATTGCAACTTTCGTTTGCACCTCAATTCTTGAGCTGAACAAATATAATTGTCATTGCTACGACAATAAAGTCACGGCTTTTCCATTAATTACTGTACCTTATTGTTGCAATATACCTGTATTTCGAGGAAAACAGTGATTGTTTTATTTTTGATATATATTTTACATTGTTTTGGTTATAATTTAAAATGTTACAATGAGACATCTTACGTGAAATCATATGGCTGACCATACAAGTGTTATAATCACTGATAATGTTATCCCTCCCGCTCATGAGATTGACTTGCATTAAAGAATGCAGCTATTTAAACGTACATTATTAAACAGTATTTAAACGTGACCATAAAGTTAACAAGGAACATTGAAGTTTCATAGTTTTGCTTTTTATTAGACTGGTTTATACATTATGATTTTATAAACTGAATGCCAATAAGTAAAGGATAAGATTTATAAGATATATTGTATATTGTACAAAGTAAATGATACATGTAAATAATTCTAGAATATGCATATTATTAAAAGTTCAGATTATTTTTCTCGAAAACATTAACGCGAGTTTACGTTTTATTTTTTTAATATCTGACGATACTGTAAACGACTAAACCTGAATAATTGGTTTCGAGGTTTTTTCCATTTGATGAATGCACCTTCCACAGGAAAGTTAATGTTTGTTTTTTTCATTCGTTGCAATTTTATTACCGTTTCATATTGGCCTGCTTTGGAGTCTGCAGACGACGGCGATGTTGAAATGAAAATAAACGTAATCGCGAATACTGGTGAAAAAAAAAGTATACTGTAAAAAGGAATAAGAGAAATTAAGGCTGCATTCTGGACAGGTTACAATTAGTTCATAGTTACCCTAACAAAGTAGCGTGCTTTGTAGGGCGAGCAAATTGAGTTTTCGCTCATTTTAGGTCCCAAGAGACAACCTTGTATTTTCCGAGGGGCTATTCAACCATTAACCCACGAGGCCACCTTACAGGATTTAACAATTGGTAGCCGTTAAAAAAATTACGTAATATTATCCACGAATCGCATTAATAGTTCGCATCAATTAATTCTGCAGAAATATAAATTTACCAGCTTTTTAAATAATTTCATTTAGCTTTCACGTCGAGAGGAATGTATGTAGATGCGCTTTTGAAAGGAATGGTCTCGAATTGATGGGATTAATTGAAAGGCAGTGAATCGATTTCCGATCGGTTTTTGTCTTGGTATAATTGAATTCGGAGAAGGATCCATTTTTTAACCTAAATTGGTCGCAAACTATTAGCAGACAGGTTACCGTTTAGAGAAAATATTGCAATTGTTTTAATGGCCCGGACGAAATCCTTTCGAGCAGCAAATACACAAGTCTGCATTTGTTTGTGTGTTTAAACATATTTTTCGAAATCCCCAATGTCATCAGGTTTATCCTCCTCTTTCCTGCGAATAAATACTACGAAAGCCCAGAACGGAACTTTTCATTGAACACAGTAATTTTAAAATAGAATATTGCCCCCTTAACGAACGTCACGGCGTATCTCTCCTATTAATAATCTACATCGATCCGTTCTAATTAATTAGCTTCGGCTAGATGATTGATAGCGTTAAGAATGATTGATTGAGAGCAGTCCATGAATCAAGTTTTCGCCATGGGGTCAAAGAATGTTGTACTCATTGGTGCTAAAAAACATTTTCGTATCCATTTCTCTCGTTTAGATATGACTTAAATATATTCGAAATGAATTGAAAAAGAAAAATTGGGTGACAAATTGATTGTGAACGGCAGTTATACAGATAATATAACTGCAATATTCAGGTGAAATATTTTCAGAATTAGCGATTGAAGACAGTTTCGAAAAAGTTATAATGAAATAATATCCAAAATATTTCAATTAAATTTGTTATTTGGCACTTGGAAGTCACGTGAATAATAAAGCAAGAGTTATATTAATTAACACGTGAGTATATGATTGTTTTTTTGACGGTGCATTAATCGTAATAGCCGGTAGACTGAGTCACAATCAAATTTTTTTTTTAATTATACGTGACAAATTTACGATATATCCTCTTCCTCGTAAATGTACCATTCACACGTAAACGACGTTTTAAGCGAAATCCTAATGGGTACTTTGGTAACGTTCGAGGCAATTAAAAGTCCGTATAAAATCGCGCCAAAAGTTCGGAAAATGGTCAAAGCTTTAAACCATGGTGATGGAATTTTTACAATTCCAGCAGTGTATTTCCCAAAATGGGGTCGTGATTTCCGAATATCCAAAAGTTTGAAACTGAGATAGCGTGGCTAACTTTTATTTCAGGGTGCAATTTTGAATCTTTGCTTAGCACATCTCCATTTATCTTGAGAAAGCATTTCTTTCAGGTCTGCTCCCTTACATCGTAATATCGAGAAATGGTAGTACGTTACAACATGATATAAATAGTACCTGTACATCTATGAATTTAAATGAAAGTCAATGAAAATCTGTTAATGAAAAGTAATCAACTTTTGAAAATAATCTAGATTTTAATTGTACTACTCATACTGTATTTAACATTCGTTTGAAACCCATTTTAAAAAACAATGTGAAAATGTATGCCTATGAGTGCGTATATGGGATTCGCTTGTTGTTCCGAAATTATACAGTAACGACTAATGAATTTTAAATTACCTTAATATTTTGTGTTAGCTAGTTAAGTAACGAGGTAATTCAATGTACCTTAAACACATTAATTCATGGTATGTATTATATAAAATCCGCTTTTACAGAATTGAATTCTTCAATGGACGTTAACTTATATCCCAAGTAATTAAGTATTATTTCATCCCGTCTTTTCGATGGCTTACCATTTATCAATGTAATTCCTCCAAGGTTTTTTTTATTCCGCATTTACTTTATTGAATTAACCGCAGAGGGCAAGAATCAAGAAGGAGATAATAGAAGTAAAATGCAAACGGTAATGCACCTTTAGAGGATTGAATATTTGTTGTGTTCAATATTGTAACAAGTGTTGCAACCAATGTAGTAAAATCAGCAAAATTAGTTCGAAGGATATGTCTATCTGAACCGAAAAATTTGGTTAAAACAAAAACTAATTATTTATTTTCACATTTCATTTTCAGTGTTGATATTTATTCAAAGAGGAGACCACATTAGGGGCATTTGACATGTTGTCAAAGGGAATGTTTTACTACAAATGTCAAATATTCGGGGCTTCATTGCCCGCTCTATGTAACTGTTGACCAAATGGTGTCAAGTTTACAGTGTACGGTTCGTTAATCCCTCTAAAGTACAGACTGGTATATGCAGTTGTAGTTAACCAAATGTAATTTGAATCAGTCGACTTGTGGTAATGGTTGAAAGTTAAGCTGCTTTAATCGGGATAAACGAAACAGATTTAGCGATTTTAATGAGAAATTGAGGTTCCCCCAAACCTTTAAAAAGGATTTTTTATTTCAGTAATTGCACCTCAAATAAATATTGATCCAGCCGGATTGTTGTGGAATAAAGAAACTGTTGTGACTGTATACTAAGAAGAATTAATTCGTTTTCATTTAATTTTCTTGGAACAAATAATTTGAAAAAAGACTTTACTATTCTAATAGTGTGTACGGCGTTGGTTAAAGAATAGTCGGTAGAATTAATAATTTATGGTTATCGATTTTGCACCAATGTGCTCTATAATTCCCATAAAAATGAAGAAACGTGAAAACACATGAAAATAGTGAGAATGATCCCGTTACCCCCCAAAAATAAAACTCTATAACGAAATCAACTTTGTGCATTGCGTGATCTCTTTCAACCTACGCACATTTTTGTTATCTTAGACAATAGATATTAAAAAGAATTATTAGATTAATCATCATTGCTGCAAGTAGCCATGTTAAGCGTTACGTCTAAAGTGCTTAAATTACATGGCTCCGGATTGCTATCCGCCAACTTAGTGAATTACCCTACTCAAATTCAGGTAAAATTAGGTCAGATTCGTAGATCTGAATCGTGTCAAATGAAATTTGACACGTTCCAATAACTCGTAACTCAAACGCGGGTCATCGACTCAAGGAAATTTGACATCCTTGTAAACGGTTGGACTATTTTCGAAATGTCCATTCTACGGGGACTCATTTATGACTTTTGGCACGGATCCCACCATAGCTACCCGTGCGGAAATCAATCAGGAGGGCCCAAAGACCGTCAGCGTCCCGATAAGGGTTAACAGTGGACTCCACAACTAGGGCACCCTTATCGCTTACCCCGGTCGGACAAATATCATCCCTCGTTCGATCGTTGAACCCATTCCCGACAATCCCCTTAACTCAATTATCCTTGATCTCTTCTACACCCGATCAGGGCCTGATACATTTTCCTGATCGCAGACGGAAAAAGTGCGATTACCCTAACCGATATCCGAGCCAAATTGAAATCCCACCTCGATTTTTCACCGCTTTCCCAAACCCTTCGACCCTGCCTACAAATTGCAGTTTTTCTTCCGCCTATAACCAACTCGAGGTTCTCGCTGGTTCCTGGATTATGATTTCGCAAGGGTAGCTAGAGACTCCGTTTCACTGATAGCACATAGAGACTCGCGGAGGTAGGGAAGAGGTTAATCAGCAAGGACTCACCGTGACCCTCCCTGACCATTATTAGACCGGCGTCCGCTGCTTTCCTCGTCCTCGTCGTCCTCGTCGTCGCGCGACGTGGCCAAGGAGTGCGGGGCCGAAGAGGGAGCACTGCTGCCGGAATCGGGACCTGGTCCCATTCTGGTACCGGAAGCAGTGCTACCGTATGCCGAACACGACGCCAGGGCCTCCTCGTTCTCCGCCCGATCCACCTGGAAAACCACCGTTGGCAAAATGTTAAAGGAAATTCAAGAAAAAGAACCTACCAACATTTTACATCTCTTCACACTTCTCACTTTTCAAATGATGTCGAGCGACGTGCTCTTCTTCCGTTTTAAAGGAGAATCGCAATGAGCAAACTGTTACGTATCAGTTAATTTAATTATTTTGGTACTTTGCGATTCCGCGGCAAATTATAACAACGCACATACGAAAGGAAATATTCGGAAAGACAGTTTTAATGTAGGGCATACTTTTAAAAAGGATATACAGTTTATTTAGTTGAAAAATATATGATAATTGCAATTTTACTTCGTACTTCTAAGGGCTTCGCTCACTTCGACTTTTCATAAATTTCTAACAATCCTCGTAGGACACTTCGGTTGATCCCCTCTTCAGAACTTCCTTCCACGACGGAACATATGTCAATTTGTTGAAAATCTTAATGACATATTTAGTTTCAATAATTTATAAACGTACATCAAATTTATATTTTGAATTACATTATTTTAAAGAATAAGTGGGGTTTTATTTTTCTTACTTAGATTATTAGTTGTTGTAATACTTACAATTTCAAGCGTCTTTCAATTGTTGTAATGCACGGAAATTCGATGTAATCAATTATCTCAATTTATATACATACAAGCAAACATTTTATTTTGCCTTTACTACCAAATTATCGATATTCAATCTGAATATTGTTAGGATTAAAAGGACGACATATTTATTTCGTGTAATTTGGGTATTCTAAGAGACGCAGAAAATATTGATCCTGTTTTAGATATTGTCAAGTCAAAACATGCGTTTCACTTTTTCTTCATAAATGGAAATGGGATTTAATATTAATAATAATAACGCCAACAATACGGTGTTCGTATATGTATCCATTTCGTAACTTTTTATGTCTATTACAGAAAACATATTCACGTTAAAATAACATAATGGGTTACGCGTCGGAGATATTAAGGGTAGTTCAGGAAGCTTTTTGTCCTTCTTTGCTACACCTCCATTGGGGTAATGGAGACAATTACCTCCAGTGCCAACGGAAGTCCATAATTGTTCTTATTGTTTACTCCTTTGGTGCACAAAAGAGCAGAGGCACTTCGCAAGTAATTGCTAAGGGGTGTTTATAGAGGTCTTTGTTCTAAAGAGAGAAATGATAAAAAGTTTAAGGCAATTCGCCCGGAAGTAAGTCATTTAGGACGTTTTAAACAGCGCTTTGTCTTGACATACATTGAAGGTAAAATGGCAAATAACTTTGACGTCTCCATCTACAATAATGTCTGTCACGACAAAAAACTGGGCGTACTCATTAATCATTAACTTTTCCTAAAGTTGCCTAACACTACCTCTATCTTCAACCTAACATTCTAAATTTTGTTTACCTTAAATTTGTGCAAATTGTGTCTTTTACTGGACACTCTACTTGCAGTCAGTTAACGAACAAAAAATTGAAAACAACCAAGTTCGTAGTCATTTAGAATATGATAAATTCACCTTGTTCAAAAACGGGTTTTTCTACTTGATTCCGAGTTTAATGAGTAATCGACCTGAATATCTAAATGCGGTAATAAGTAATTCATTCTCTGAAACTGTAACCGATATCTTAAGATTTTTCAATTTTCTATGAAAACCATATCGGTAAAATAATCCGGCATTTAATCAGCGTTTATAATCCATTTAAGAAGTTGCTAAACGATTCGTCGCGTTTAATGGGTAATGTGGGAGGGTTTTCATAAAGCTCTTCATACTTGAAAGGAAGGTAACGAAGAAGTTGTAAGACCTGTTCACATAGAAGGAAGTTATTGAAGCATCATACGAGCTGCTATGGACCAATTTACACACACGGGGTCCTCGGTAAACACACGGACATTTTGCCTCGGCGTTCCTCCTTTTCTTTTTTCCTTGATATTGCCTCTTTGAGAGAACGACCAGGAAACATGTTTCCTCGCAATTACCAAAATTTAGCTCCCCAGGCACCACCAACGATTCTCTTTGATCTCTTTAAAATTTAAATCGAGCATATTACAATGACTTTTAGGTTAATAAAGTTACTAATCAAGTGTAAGAAGAAAAATTGAGAAATACCCAAAGAAACAGCGAATAAGACAAAAATATCTAAACACATAACATACATAAAATAACGACTAATGACTGCAGCAGTCAACGCCGATAACCACAAAATAAACAAAAATATATAATATAAAAGAACAAATATGTGTACAAACACGATACCGGAAAACGGAATTCTTATATAAAATTTTGATTTATTCGTATTTTATTTGTACATATCTAGGTATATTCAGGTGATTTGTGGGCTTAGGCTGTTTATTAATCCTTTGCACTTCCAATTATTGAGATCTCGATTGCTGATGTCAACTTCATTTACTGACTAATGTAGCACGGAAATGGTAATGTGTAAAGTGGAAATGGTTAATTCATCCAAAATAGTTCAAATGTTTGTTACCTCGAGTTTCCACGTAATTTGTACAATTCATATTGTCATTTGTATTGGATTATCTAGATCGGTACTTCAGGAGGATAACTACACGTAATAATCGGACTACAAAAAGATAACAGAGTTTTCTCGGACACTTTTCCCGAAATGATTTCTTACTCCCTGCGTTTCTCTTTTATCTTCGCTAAGTTAATAATTTGTCTCACGAAACCTCGTGCCGGAAAATCGATTTTTCCTCTTTACTTGAAGTTGTTTCTCACTTGAAAAACACAGCACTCTTCGAGATGTGAAAAAACGAAAACTCAACGTGCTCAGCCACAAAGCACGTTACTTTGTTAGATAAATAATGAGTGCACTGTAATCTACCCGGAAGACACGGCGTTGATTCTTCTTGCTTCCTTCTTTCCGCACGTTCTTTCGCAATTGCTCACGATTAATTCCTTCAGGGGCTTACCTTAGTATGCAATTAAAAAAGGGAACATTTTCTGTGCTTTAAAATATAATGTTGACTTTTGAAATTAATGTACAATTTGCCCCACGGGTATATCTAAAATATTTTTAGGCTTATAGCATATTGGAAAAAGATTGTTAAAATACAATCAAAGTTGTGTATATATATGTTTCTTTATACTTTTAATATTATTTTTTTTACCTCTTTTGGAGTGTAGATAATGGATTAAATTTATTCTTACTTTTTGCACTTTTAAGAAAATTCGGCTTTTGGGTTTTTACGTATGTTTAATACTTCGTTCTCGGTAGAATCATCTTTTTAGAAGGCTTTTAACCAAGCTTGCATCAGTTTAGAACAGAATGAATCTAATTTAAAGGTCTATGAGGAAAATCAACAACCCACCAATTCAAAAGCTTTTCAAAGTTTAGCGTGGTATCAAAATGATTCCCAGAGTTATCTCAACCGAAAACGATCGATAGTGTGATGGATGAATGTTATTTTCAGGTCGATTGTAAAGATGAACATTCACAAAATTTCACTAGACTTGATATATGTGTGACCACGCTATCGGCGACAAGTAAAAAGCAGAAAAACGTTACAGCGATAGAAGTAAATGAGTCGTTTACAAAAATAAAAGGTGAACGCTTTCTTCCTATTATCTTATTTGATTATTAATTTTAGATGAAAAATTGACAGCCAAATTAACAGTTGAATGATATGATTAAAAATGGTAGGAACAGAAATCTCGTAATTTCCTGAAAACTGCCGTTGAATTCACATGAAAAAAGTACACCTGAAATTATATAATTTCCGGTTCTGAAGGGCTCAGATTTTTAAAATAATTTTGTTCAGAAGGGAAACATGGGAAAGGAGAACTTGCCTCTTTCAGCATCTCTTCATTTTTGCCCATAAATTATGGACTCTCGACATGTACTCCATGAATCACTGCTGTTTTAAATTACTTAGTTACACAGAAAGAAGAGTAATACACTTTTATGATGAAAAATTACATTACCCCATTTTTACGTTTTCCATAATAATATTAAAACTGAACCGTAGCCCTACGGTATTTAACTAAAGGAAAGGTGAGAAAAAAATCCACTTTTCGTTGACGATTTTTTGTTGTAATTACGTACATCTAATGCGGCTAACAATCCGCTCAAAGAATATTATATTCCAAAGTATCGATAACAGAATCAATAGCAAAGGTCGACATTGAATTCTGCACTTTTATTATCATCACGGTAGATATTAAAATGACATTGAATCATGATAAAACATTTGTTACCACTTACAACAAACTTTATCAAATATCAACCCTGAACAAACAAGAAAAACCTTCAAAGAAATATACGTAAGAACAATTTTTAACGAACGTCCATAGAACAATCGAGTCATTTCGCAAATTCGTTTTCTTCTTTCCTTACCTTAAGTTGAAATCAATTCGACATTAAAAAGGCATTAAATTGCAAGGAAAGTTCAATTCGAATTTAATACCAAGCCTATCATCGATCTTGCGAAGTACTTAAAAGCAAGGCAGCGCACCAGGAAGATCGACGAGTGTTTAATGGAAAGAAAAGTAATTCATTTTTCCCCCTTATACGCGATTTGTAAGAGCCCTGATGTTTCCTTTTTATTTTTCCCTCAATTACCTGCAGTGGCTTTAGTTTTTCACAGGAACCATTAAGGTTGATTTTCAGACATTCTTGTAGTATCAACTTGGTATCCATTTCAGTAGATTCAGTGGAAGACTATTCACATGGTACCAATAGGCGTTCTCATTACATCGTTATCAGGCAACATCGATTTGGAATCAATGCGACTTAGTTCCATCATCATTACACATTTTGTAAACATAAAATATGTGCACTTGCCGCGTCTCCGAATAAATATGAGCAATAGAAAGTGAAAGAAGAAACGGCAAAGCGTGTGTTTGCAAAGTATGGAACAAAGGGAAAACTAAGAATAAATTAGCCACTGAGTGTACAGTACTTTTAATCGATAAGATAAAATTTCATAAACATTGTAGAACCTCTTGACGTTATTCTTATATATCGTTAGATAAATCAAGCTCGACGTAAAAA